CACTCTGCAACCCTCATTGCATACTCCTATGATAGGGTTTTTTTATTGTTATTACTAATTTTAATGAAGTTTAGAGACTTTAGATTTCCATTCCTTCATTTTTGCACTTTTCTCCCAGCCCAACCTTCCTCTGCTTTGCTCTTCTCTTTGAAAAGTAAAAGAAAGATTCTTTCATTGTTATACAGTCCCTTCCCCCTCAAGTCAACTATGCAGCCTTTGCTCTGGACTCCTGTCATGACAATAATACATAATCATATATCCCTTTTAAACAGTTTTCTCTCTCATCTGTTTCAATGCAGTATACATAATTTATCCCAACTTTCTCATTCTCCTCCCAACCCCAATGTCTGTCCTGTTTTTACAACGGTGGCACTATACAGTATTTGTCCTTTTGTGACTGAGATACTTCACTCAGCATAATGTCCTCCAGGGTTACCCATCTTATATATTATTTTATGAGTTCTTTGTTTTTCAATGCAGTGTAGTATATTACATTGTGTGAATATAGCACAGCTTCTCAATCCATTCATTTGTTGATGGGCACTTAAGGTTGTTTCCTACTCTTTGCTATTGTGAACAAAGCCACGATTAAAATGGGTGTGCATATATCTGCTTCGGTGACAGTTATGGTTTCTTTGGGGTATAGTCCCATTGGTGGAGTTGCTGGGTCAAATGGTAATTTCTATTTGCAACTGTTTGAGAAGGCTCCATATTGCCTTCCCCAGTGGTTGCACCGTTCTATACTCCCACAAACAGTGAATAAGGGTTCCAGTTTCTTTACAACCTTGCCAGCATTTATACATACAATTCCTTGAGCAAAGTAAGACTTGAATAGAAACAAGGATGATTATTCTCCATGTTTTTTTTTATGTCAGTAGGAAAAACTTTCCCAGAGAACTCCATCTTTAGCAGCCATCTCTTTAAAAAACTCCAGTTGGACTGTACTAGATCATCTGCCCATACCACACCAACAAAGGAGAACTGGAAAAGGGAAACCTGGCATTTAGCTTTTTACCTGCCAGTAAGTGAATATGAATGAGCTCTGGTGGCACACAGAGTCTATGTTGAATTGCCCTGTTAATCCAGCAGCTGTGCGCTTCTGGCAGTTTGAATCTACAAGGAGCAACTTGAGAGAAAGATGCACAGCCTCCACTTGTTATGATTTACAGCTTTCATAACCCAATGAAGAGTTGCTATATCCGTATCCACTAGACACCTGATCTTTGATTTTTAAGAAAGAATCTAGAATGGTAAGCAATTCATTGCATTTGTTAGTATATCAGCAGAATATCTGTTATTGTTTTGGAAAGATAAGTAAGTACTCTGTTGGCCTTGACATATTTCAGCAAATTAATACTGTTGTGCACATACTCCCCAGGTTGTGCCAAGAAATCTAGAGGACAAATACTTGGCCACCTGTCTGGAAGAGATCCATATTTATTCCATTCCATTAAAAGATAATCCCACACAGTGTGGAAATTATCAAACAATATTACTGATACTGTTTAGCAAGCAAAATCCTGCTGAAGATTATTCAAAACAACTAGAATAGTACATAGAGAACTACCAGAAATGCAAGCTGGCTTTAGAAGAGGCCCTGGCGGATCTTGGCCAAAAGCTGAAAGTACCAGAGGAATGTCTTTCTGTGTTTTATTGACTATGCAAAGACATTTGACTGTGTTGATCACAAGAAATTATGGCTGACCTTGTGAAGAATGAGAATCCCAGGATCCTTGATTGTACTCATATTAGAACAAAGCAAGGAAAAATTGCATGATTCAAAATCAGGAAAAGAGTGCATCAAGGATGCTTCTTACCTCCATATCTTTTCAATCTATATATGGAACAGATTATTTGAGAGGTTGGACTTTAAGAGGAGGAATGTAGCATCAGAATTGGAGGAAGATTCATCTACAACTTGAGTTATGTAGGTGATATTACCATCCTTACTAAAA